GAGGAATGCACCAGGAAAGCTAATAACTCCTCTGGGATAATTTTTCTCTCTGCTCCAAGCTATGGTTTTGGAGGTATGGCTGGTGGTGAGATGAGGAGCGGCCATAGCTGGAGCTGTTCCCACAGCCTCCTCCTCTTCAGAGCACAATTTTTCCTCAAATAAGTGCAAGTTCCTGCGGTAGCCCCGGCGCTACGCCAGCTCACATCATGGGCTGCCCTGGAGCAGAACCAAGGGTCCTCGACATCTCCCCGTGGAAGTGAGCTGTCAGTCCCTCTTCCCAGGGTGAGGGTTGAACAACTCCGAATGCAGCTGAAAGCAGCTGGAACAAGAGAGGGATTCACCCCCCTCCACTGTCCCACAGCTTCATGCTCACGAGATTCAGCTCCGGGGAGACCCGCAATTATCTATTTCCAGCATCTTCAGCAGAGCGTGAGGACACAGTAGCGCAGGATTCAGTGATTCATCTGTGACCTTCAGGCACCATGGATGTCCTGTTAAGGGGGACTAAGATAGTCTAGAGAGGCTGGTAGCTGGTCTGTTGCGGCTTTTCAATTCTACATTACGTTGCCTTTAATTTGCTTTAAAAGTGGGATATGGTGTTGCCATAAAAATGGGATATGATACCTATCCCTTCATTACAGTGGAATAATCGAGAGTAGCAGAATAAAAGGTAACAATAGCAAAGTAAATTGTAATATTTTGCAATATTTTCAGTCCAGATTATTTTCCAAAGACACAAATCGTCCTCCTACTGAGCTCATCATCTTCCTCTCAACAGCCGGCGGTGCTGGGAGGCAGCACTGGTACGCACTGGTACACACTGGTGGGATCGCACCCGGTGCCTGCTGCCCTTTTGCAGCTCGGTCCTCTGCAGCCCAGCATCTCCTCAGCTGGGAAACCACGGGCTGAGAAACCAAGCGTCTTGCTGTGGAAGGAGTTCAGGGTGGCTCCTGCTCTGACAACTAAAGCCAAAACACAGCAGAGCTTGAAAAACATGTTTCCACATAAAACACCCTTTGGCTGCAAGCAGCCACTGTGGCTACACTGAGAATAGCTTTTATTTGGAACACATTTGCTGACATTTGCATCCCCTCCCAGGGGACACCATGCAGATAACTACAGTCCTGTGTCCTCCTCGGTCCGTTTCACTCCCAACACGATCTGCCCACGAGGGCCCAAAACTGCCCCCGGGACCCAAAACTGCTCATGCTACCCGCAACACATGAGTGCAGCTGCAATGCCCAAGATCCTCCCAGTTTGCCCTCTCGAGACCTTCAGCAGTGCCTGGAGCAAAGGTTACACCTTTGAATGTCTTCATCTTGCCAGTCCATCCCCATCGATGACGCTGATGTGAAACCCATCACCCAGAGACCTCCCAGGCCGCTCTCCTACCGTGTGTCTGAGCGGTACCTCAGTTGCTGATGGTCATCATAAAAGAGCATCCATTTTTCAACACGGATGGCAAGTCTTCAACCAAATGTTGACCCTGCTTTAGGATTTCTCCTGCCTGGCTTTGGGATTTTACCGGCAGAGGGCACGCCAGGATTGCACCACAAGGAAAAAGGCAGAAGCGCCGGAGGGAGAGAATTTCACCCAGGGCGGGCAACAGCAGAGCCGAGATAAGCAACATTTTTCATGCAGGGGAATTTGGGAGAGCCGGACTCACTCGCTGCTAGAGCACCTGTTGCATAGCGAGTCTCCCACAGCCTGGAAGTGGCTTTGTCCCCTCCGAGTAGCGGGCGAAGGCTTGTTCATCGGGGCCCTGTTTCGTTCCGGCCTCACCACGGCGGGAGCTGGAGCAGCGTTTAACACCGCTCCATGCCACCGAGCAACCCCAGCCGGACTGCGCTGAAAGCGGCCCACGCGTTCCCATAGGCCCCTTCATTATGGTTTTTTTGCCTGAAGAACAAGGATGAAGAGAGTGCACGGCGAGTTCGGGAATTTCCCCTACAGGGTAGATCAAAAGTTGCCAGGATGCATTAGAGGAGACATTTAGGCTAAAGAAAACCCTGGGAAAAAAACCGAAGCTCCAGTCCCGGACTACTGCTCTAATCACCATGTTGCTGTGGGGAGAAAACCCCACGGGCCTGAACTGATGCCCTCCCACCCTCTCCAGCGCCCGTTTGATCAGCAGAGATGAGGAAGTGGGTTTTTTTTTCACTGTCTCTGTTTTGTTTTACCACTGTAGCCTGCAGGGCTGGTTTGTATGCCTGCCTCCCACGGAGGATAATTTGGTTCCTCTCTCTGGCCGAGGCCACACCAGAGCACTGAGCTCCCACCGCCGCCTCCAGCCGGGTCAGGGCAGCCCAGGCACCAGTGGGACGACCCATCATCAATAGCCCTATTATTGCTCTTGAAGTCTCTCTCCACTTCCAGACGGATGCCGTGTTACTCCATCACAGCTGCAGTTGCTCCCTTCCAGCAATTCCCAACACAGCACTTAAGGCAGGGATTTATGGGTGGTTTTGAAAGGCATTTTGGAACGAGAAGGAGTTATGGGAAAGGAAGTCAAATTCCCACCATTACCCGGAAAATTCTCCCAGCATCTTTCACGAGAAGGATCATTTACTGGTCCGTTCCTCAAAACAGAGACAAGCTCTCAGCTGTGGCTCTATGTTTAGTCCAAAGCATTTCCCAACAGCAAGATTCAGCAGGGGTTATTCTGGTCCTGCTTGCAAAGGGTCAGGAGACCGAGGCAAGCCTTCAGCGTCTGGCTGCAAGGCTCTGCGGGACTTGATTTGTTCCCTCACATTTTTGTGGATGCTGGTAGCTAAATGAAATGATTTGTTCTCAAGCCACTGATTATTGCCAATCTCAGGGCAAGCGGTGCTGAATATCCTGCTAATTTTGACTCACGTAGCGGTTTGCAAAGGAAAAAGTCATGGGACCAGAGTTACCAAGAGCAGCAGCTATAAAACGACCAGCAGGGATCTTGCCTTACAAGCTACATCTTACCCTTTTTGAAGCTTTTCAGGAACAAAAGCTCACCTGCCGCAAAACTAGCAGTCATCCAAGCAGGCTGGATCAGCAGAATAGATTCACACCAACACTACATTTCACAACCAGGACAGGGGTTTGAAAGACTTTATTTGACACCTTTGCTGGATGTCACAGCTCGTGAATCTAACAGCTCTGCACAGTGTGAAGTGAGGCCGGGCTACTTGCTGTGAGCTCTAGCGTGCCGACCAGTCGCAGGAACGACCGGGGTCCGCAAGGACCTCCTCGATTCCCTTTATTAAAAGGGAATATGTTGTTCCTGGCTAATTCTGGCACTTCGGGACAAGGGTGAGGAGAAGTAGCGGAGGCATTTCTGTGTGTTAAGTGCGACGACTTTCATCAGAACAACTGGGAGGGACTCACTTTCAAAACAATAGCAGATACATACATTGACATGCACATGGCAGATACAATCTGTAGGAACACAACCACCAGCTCATCCACACAGTCTAACCGGCTGCGCGCTTGACCTGAGGCGTGGGGAGAGCCTCTCCCATTCAAGAGAGATCTTCTCCCTCTTTCTTACCTTTCTTTGCACTGACCTTTCCACACTTTACTCTCTCTTTTCACGTCACAGTGCTGTAGAGGTGGGCATGCAACTGGGTCCAGGCTATTCAGCAACCCAAGGCACAGATGCAGGGAGCGGGGGCTGTTCAGATGAGGGGGAGCACTGCGAGACCCTGCCCTGGCCACCGTGGGAATTAGGGACGTGGCACAGGTGCAGGGTGGCTCGAGAGCTTCAAGTTTCTGTTCCCTTCTGCCCAAAGAAGAGAGGAGGGGAGGACAGCGGGAGGAGCACAGACTCATCTGCTGCGTCAGTTATCTAGGGGCACGCAGGCCAAGGCAGAAAAAGCTCTCGGGAAACAGGACAAGTGCAGACCCAGAGCTTGCCGAGGTCTGCGGTGAAACCTCGGTGGGTTTTGGTCCCAGCCCAGGAGAGGGATGAGCAACGGAAGACCGACCCGTGGTGCTGAAGAAAGAAAACAGAGACATTGTGGGAGGAAAGGGTGAGGGATGCAGGGCTAAGAGAAAAGGAGGGAGGCACTTCAAACGCAGGCTGGCCTGACCCATTCCCCCCCCTTTGCAGTCACGGCTGGTCAGCAGGGGGAAAAAAAAGCGGGGAGACTGGCAGAGGGAAAAGTCTTTTCTTCTCATTTTGGCCGTCAGAGCCTTCACCTCCGTGACAGGACAGACGCCCCTTTGAAATCCTCCGTCTCGCCTCTTCACACCTCGGTGCGGAGCAAGGGCTGCAGAAGCCTCCCTCCACCCAGGCGGCCTGGCCGGCTGCTCCTGCACCCTTTGTGCTGGGACCCAGCACAGGCCCCGCAGACACGGCGACATCTCGGCTCGGCTGTGGGAACGAGCTCTGTTAAGCTGTTGCCTCACTCCACCTTAAGGGCACATAAGTGGGAAAAGCTGGTAATGTGGCGAGGAAAGCATGGGGATTAGCAGGCAGCCAGTTCGCTAAGGGAGCTGGGGGGGCTCTAGCCTGCCTTGCTGGGTGCCAGCAGTGCTGGGGAGGGGGGTGAGCTGCATCCGTCCCACCACACCAAAATTAGGTGCTGCAGCTGGGGGACACATCGCAGGGAATCAGCATGAGCAAGTCTGTCTGGCAGCTCTGAGTCCCCAAGGAAATAAGACAGTATTTCAAGGCTGGCGGTTTTCCAAAGGAGAGCAACGCCGGGCTCTGCAGAGGGGTTTGCT